GAGTCTAGCTATTATCATTAATTCCTTGCACAAAGGGGAATAATTGTTAAGGTACTTGATTGCCTGTTTGGAGCTGAATGTACCAACAGGAAGATGCTGAACAGATGGAAATATCAAGAAATTCCTGGCTTTTGACTCTGTACAGATGTGTTAGGGTTGGACCCCCTGTGAGCTGTGCAGGTCAGAGAAAGACCCACAGGTATCAGCTACAAGAACTGTGACTTCCGGTCAGGATGGGGCGTAGGTAAACGTGGTACCACCTCCTCCCACAACCACATCGAAATGCCAACTAAACTACAGAACAACCATCATTCAAAACCACGTGAAATCGAGCTGAATGAAAGTCCCACAACTACGGAATTAAAGAAGAGGCCACATCAAGACAGAGAGAGAGGGAGAGAGAGATAGGAACATCAATGAGAGAGAACATCGACTGGCTGCCTCCTGCATGACCCCCACTGTGGGGATTTGACCCACAACCTGGGCATGTGAACGGACTGGGAATGGAACCAGCGACCTCTTGGTGCAGGGGTCGACACTCAACCACCGAGCCACACCGGCTGGAACACTTACAGACGGAAGTACATTTGGAGATTGTACACTGACCTCAACAAAGGCAAAGCACAGCTCGACTTGGAGAGACGTAAGGAACGCTGATGCCTGGTCAGGACGAGCAGTAGAACAGAAGGGGGAGTCGGGGCTGCCAACACCTGTGATGGGGCTGCAGGGCCGTCGTGAATTCTGCCTTCGACAGATCCAGCTGCTCCATTTAAACATGATCATCGTTCTATTTGTGCTTGCTTCGGATGTTTGCATTATCACTGCATGGTCGGTGATGCTGTAGCTCCCCCCCTTCCCAGTGGCTGCAATTACACACGGCACATTTCAGGATGGATGACAAGAGGAGGCTTATTCTACTCATTTTCTTCAGGCAAAGATACTTGACTGTTGTCGAAGGCCAGTGATGGTGTGTGTCAGGGGCCGTGTTTAAGTAGCAGCGAGAAGCGTGGCTGTGAAGAATGTTCCTCAGGTGTGTCCTTCACCGACACTGGACACGGGAGGGAGGGACGCTCTGGCAGAAAGCGAGCTGGGTGCACTTTCGCAGGAGCAGCTCCTGCGAGGTGGGGAGACGTCACCCACAGCTACCCTATGGGGCATCTGACTTCGTAACGCAACTGCGTGCGGTGTTCTGTGCTTGTGGGCGGCATTTCGGGGGCTTTTTCAGACAAGTATGTACATGTTGTTGTCTTCTCCTGTTGTTAGTCACTTAACCATCAACTTAAAGGGGAGAAAAGACTGTTAAAAAAAATTAGTAAGAACAATGCTGCCCATGAACCAGGGGGAACACAGAGGGTCCTCTGCCTTCTCAGGGGCCACAGCTCCACCAGACTGCACCCCGTGGAGAACCCCACGCCGAGGTCTCTTCTCGGGGGGAGCGGGGGGCCAAATCCATTTCAAACTTCTGAAGAGTACACATCAAAGTGGTTCTTAGAGCGTCTGATTCCACCACAAACTTGGCCACCACAGATTCTTTTTGAAGTGTCCATACAACATACATCTTCGCCTAACACTGGGTCTGACAGGGGACTCATTTATTCTAAGTTGAATTTGAGGAATTCAAACCGTTATGCCATCATGATCAAACCTCATTAGTCACAAAACGTCATTAAGCTGAATGAGAACTTGAAGACTGTTAGGGTAGCCTGAAATAGATCTTGAAAATGCTACTGACAATAGAAATAAGATCACTCTTAATAATTATATGACAACAACAGTTGTTATTTAAAAACGCACCAGCAAGTTTCCCAGTTCTCAAAGTGTCATTTCCTGTTCAACATTAAAAAGGAGTCCCGTGGGCTTATTGATAAGATGATGTTTCTTTAATGAGATGACATTCCATTGTCTCAGTCAAGAGGACTTGAGTATTTAGAAGGCGAAGTACAATGAATTTCAGACTTTGCTCTTTCTACCCCCCACCCTCCTCCTCGGCTCATTTGCATCATAAACACACTTTGGGCAAAATGCTGAAGCCATCAGCAATTTTTCTGTTATGACATAATCAAACTTTATTTTTATCTTTTACCCGTCTATCAATCAATCTATCTATCTATCTATCTATCTATCTATCTATCATCTGTTTATCTATCAAATTTCTATCTGTATCTTTTATTAAGTTCACTGGGGTGACATTGGTTAATAGGATCATATAGGTTTCAGGTGTGGGTTTCTATGATTACAAGATCTGTATGTTGCACTGTGTGCCCACCACCCAAAGTCAAATCATCTTAGGTCCCCTTCACCCCCTTCCTTCTGGCAACTACCCTCTGAAGCCACTGCGGAACTCTGGAAAAACCCCGCAGTGAGTGGAATCCCACCTCCTAGCCCTGCACCTGTCATGGTGGACTCGCCTGATTTCCTCCATCACCAGGTCAGGGAGGGAGAACAGCCCCGAGACAGAAGAGTCTGGGCGTGGTGTGAGTGGAAGAGTGGGGACAACAGCCTAATACTAATCGTCTTTCCATTATCCTGCTTTCTGTAGACGTGGTCCATTTTGCAGGTGGACAGACGAGTGATTTCTCAATGATAAATGGCTGTTTTGTGAGGACAACGTTGGCTCTATATATTTTAAGTTGCTCTGTGTTGTTTGACAGTGTTTGTTTTGGAAAAACTCCACGTTAACACAAGGGAGGAGAATAGTGTCAGGAACAAGACTCCCAGAAGGAGAATCGCAGAGGACGATAAGAGTCAAAAACTTCGAATGGAAAATTGCTTAGACATACATCATCCCAAATCTATTTAACAGCAGGTCAGAGGAATATTATATATTACAAACTAACTTTGCAAATGACATTTCAGATACATTTTAACCTAATTTAAGTGCATTCCACGGTGATTTTCTACATAGGGCTTGTGAATAAAAATCCAATTACTGTAGCCAGACAAATTGCAGTGTTTCTGTCGTTTGATCTTTGAGAAAGCAGAGGCTGAAATATGCAATCATTATGGGGAGTCTGAAAGAATGTTCTGTTCCTGTGTAGATATCTGGACCCACAAAGTCGTCACCCCCCTGCAGTAATGTTTCCATCAAGTGGCGACAAAAGGACCCGGCTAATCCATCTGGACTCCTCAGTTGACTTGGACTAGAGAAAGAGTTCCAGTTTGCTTGGTCCAAAAAGCACTGCCCTGATTGGCGAGAATAAAGACGCTCTGATTGGTTGGTGAAAAATGCAGATGGGGATACACAGTTCCGATTGGAGGGGGATAGCCTCAGTCCTATTGGTTGAAATAGGATTCCAGGAACTCCTTTATAAGGGCCGGCTCTGCAGCAACACAGTGCAGGGTCCCCCCTGAGCTCTGGTTTGCGGGAGAGGCCCCTGTGCAGAAATGGCTGCTGGCCCTTCTTGGTAGGTGTCTTCTTCCTCCGGGTCCACAAAATGAAACACTGACTGCAGATAAAGTACTTGGTACATAGTAGGTGTTCAACAAACGGCATCAGAATCTTTCTGGAAATGGGGCGGAATAGAAGCCGTGGGATAGAATGAAAGAGAAATGAGATACTATTTACTCCGCCAACCCCAGGAGCCGGCCCTGCCTCAGCTCAGGGTGGTGCTTACTTCTGTGGCAGCACACGCCCTGCCCACCTTCCTGGGTGTCCCACCTGCTCCCCTGCGCTTACCTGCCTCTCAAACACCGTGTCTGGCACAGGGGCTCTCACTCCCCACTTGGAGAATGCAGGGAACCTCCTGGTGTTTGGGAAAGTGATTGTCAGACACATCAGAAAGGCTTGGCAAATACAGGAACCAACAACGCTGATATTAAACATGTTCTTTCACTTGACAAACATTTCATGTCCGTGTTCCCATCTCTGCCACTCAAATGAGCAATGTCAGGCAAACCAATCTACGTTCAGATGACGCCAACCCAACAGGCTCCTTTAACCTCACGTGCGCGTGTTTACAGGGAACGCAGACAGGCTGTTCCTCTCTCTTTCCTGGTCTTTCCTCCCTAGTCCTGGGCAGGGTGGGGGTGGGGATTAGGGATGTCACAAAACTCTGAGTTGTGGCGCCAATCCCGACTTCCCGGGGTGACTGCGGGCAGGCAGCGCTCACTGACAGCCTCCCCGCGAGGGAGAAAGACGGAGGGTGCTGAGGGGTGAGGAGGCCTGCGCACCCCGTGGCCTCCGCCCGCCCGCCGGCGCCCCGAGCAGCTGTGCCGTCCTCTCCGCCCGCCTGTGCCCCATCCCGAGCCGCCGGGCTTTCGCTGGACGCGGGCGGGGTTCGCACCTTGCAGCGCGGGGCTCCTTCCAGCGCCGAGGTGGGCGGCGACCCATCCGTTAGGATTGGCCCGGTCTCTGCGCGCGGGGACTTCCGGGGACAGGGGAGGCACCCAGGGGGGCGTGGGTTTCAGCCAGGCTGTGTCCTGGCTACATCTCAGTTGCAACAGAGAGACCAGAGCACCCCGCTGCCAGCCGCCGGGAAGGCACAGAGCGCGCGCCCTGCTGACGCCCTGGGGCCGCGGCAACAGCTGGGAGCAGAATCGGTCGGGAGTCGCCGGGAGCCCTCTCCGCGAACACGACGAGCGCTGTGCGCACTCGGCAGAGCCCCGGGCGTGCTCGGGAAGGGAGCGGCTCAGAGCAACAGGTGCGGCGCGAATCCACTCCCGGGCGGGAATGCGCAGGGACCCGAGCAGGTAAAGGGCAGAGAGCGCTTCTCCACCTCCAGGGCCGCACAGCGGGTCCCTCCTCGCCTGCTCTGTGCCCGCGGAGGGCAGTGGCGCCAGGGCAGGGGTCCCCTGCGCTCTCGGAACCGCCGCCTCTGCCCGGGAAGGTCCAGCTCTCGAGGAGGCGGACCCACACAAGGCCGGCCGCGCGCGCGTGGCCACCGGGGAGGCTCAGGCTTGGAAACTCGCGCTCTGTGCTGCAGCTGGGACCCCAACGCCCCGGGCACGCTCCGTCCCCATCAGGCAACGCTCACCAGCGCGCCCGGGCGGCCCCGCAGGCCATGGAGCTGCTGGCCGGGAACCTCAGCGAGGGCAACGCGAGCGGGCCGGAGCTCCCCGCCCCGGACCCGCCGCCGCTCTTCGGCATTGGCGTGGAGAACTTCATCACGCTGGTGGTGTTCGGCCTGATCTTCGCGCTGGGCGCGCTGGGCAACAGCCTGGTGATCACCGTGCTGGCGCGCAGCAAGCCGGGCAAGCGGCGCAGCACCACCAACCTGTTCATCCTCAACCTGAGCATCGCCGACCTGGCCTACCTGCTCTTTTGCATCCCCTTCCAGGCCACCGTGTACGTGCTGCCCACCTGGGTGCTGGGCGCCTTCATCTGCAAGTTCACCCACTACTTCTTCACGGTCTCCATGCTCGTCAGCATCTTCACGTTGGCCGCGATGTCGGTGGACCGCTACGTGGCCATCGTGCACGCGCGGCGCTCCTCCTCCCTGAGGGTGTCCCGCAACGCGCTGCTGGGCGTGGGCTGCATCTGGGCGCTGTCCATCGCCATGGCCTCGCCCGTCGCCTACCACCAGCGCCTCTTCCACCTGGACGGCCGCAACCAGACCTTCTGCTGGGAGCAGTGGCCCGACCCGCGCCACAAGAAGGCCTACGTCGTGTGCACCTTCGTCTTCGGCTACCTGCTGCCCCTGCTGCTCATCTGCTTCTGCTACGCCAAGGTGGGCCGGCGGCGCGGCTGGGGCGGGCACCGCGGGTCCCTGCTTCTCCTCCGCCTCCCTGCGCCCCTTTCTGCGCCCCGCAGCGGCCCCCACCGCTTAGCCCTGGTCCCTGTCTCCGCTGCAGGTTTGTCTGTCTGAAGTTTCAGGGAAAGTTACCCGGAGTGTGGGAGACACTGGGAAAGTCTGCAGTTCACTTCCCACAGTCCAGCCCACCCTCGGGTCACTGCAGCCCACAGCCCCAGGTTGTCCTGGAAGCAGGCCCGTGCGCAGCCCCAGCTTCTAGGCAGAGGAGACCCGGCTCCATTTTAGCAGCTCAAACCTGCACAGCCGGCGGCTGCAGAGTCGCAGGGAGTGCTCGCTCACTCCGAGCACCAGCCTTTTGCCAGGGTGGCAGGTCCCCTCTGCCCCCGCCCAGTACTCAGTGGGGACACAAGGAGGTGACGCAGGGACGCAGGGATGCTCGGCAGGGACCTGCCTCTCTGAAGCCACTGGTGACAGAGCCTCACATTAGAGATGATAGATATTGACTTTATCAGAGAGGTGAAGGGAGAGGGGGAGAGATGGAAACATCCCCGAGAGAGACCATGGGCTGCCTCCTGCACGCCCCCCACTGGGGGTCGTGCCTGAGACCCAGGCATGTGTCCTGACCGGGAATGGAACGGGTGACCTCTTGGTGCAGGGGACCATGGTGCTCGATCCACTGAGCCACACAGCTGGGCTCACGTTTTGCTCTCCCCGGAAGTCGCTTTATAAACCCAGTGGAGAAACGGTGTTTCTTCTCAGTCTGACTGAGGCCCCCGAGAACTGGATGGGTCTCGGGAAGGTTGTGGAAAGGGTGTGAGTGGCCCAGGGCAGGTCGGCCGGACTCCCTCACCGGGGGCAGCACAGGGGGCCCCACTCCGGCGACCTGCTCTGCTCACCTGACGCTGTTCCCACTCTTCCTTCAAGTAGCCTCACAGCTCCGCAAACTCACCTTCTCTTTCATTCAGAGCCCACGGGGCTGAAGGTGTCACACTGATCAACACACTTGTTTACGTTTAAGTGAAAAGGAGTCTGTGCCTGATACTCACATGGTCGCAATCCGCGGGGTCGAGCCCCGTGCCCCCAGCTTACTGTCTGGGAGGACCACCCCCACCGGCCAACACCCTCGGACCCAGGTTCTGAAATTCCACTATTTGACCTCCCTCTCTGTGTGTCTCGTCCTGTTTCTGCTCCGGCTCTGCCGGCAGGGCCGTGAATAACCAGACGAGGTGCAATCATTTCTTTTATTCAGTTCACAAAGTAGTTTTCCCAGTGACAACGTGTATGTCATATAAGCACCTGGGCTTGGCTTTCCCCTCCCCCACAGCAGCCCTGAGGGGTTCTGTTTTCCGGACGGTGGTGGTTGTGGAGGTTTTGGAGATCATCTGCAGGAACAGCCTGCACGGCAGGAACGGGGAATTCAGAACAGACTCCAGCTCGATCTTCCGCTGCGGCTGGCGCACGACCTGGCCTGTCTGCTGGGACGGAGGGCCAGGCGCGGTCCGCACAGCACGGCGTCTGCCTCCTGTCCTAGACCCCCTGATCAGCAGGGCAGACCCCGCCGGAGCTGCCGTCCCTGTTGGGTAGATGAGGGAAGGGGTTTGGGAGGGAGGAAGCAACGGGCCCAGGTCAGGAAGCCTGCGAATTGTTCGGGAAGGTTCCAAGGCAGGGATTCCCTGTCCTCCGTGGGAGGGGACAGGTGGTGAGGGCTTTGGGGTCATGAAGATTGGGACGGGAGGGATTCTTCGCATAGTTGCCTCTTACTTTGTTATTATTACGTAGATTAGAACTGCAGCACAATCTCTCAATTTCCCAGAAGTTTTAAGTCTTAATGAAAGGGACAAGGTAAATGTTTAGGAACAGATTAGGCTAGGTTTCCACTGTAGAGCAAAGTGTGAAGGTGGTTTTTACAAATCCAGTAAGTACAGGGTCGTGGGGATATTTTTCCATGGAAATAGTTTGCTTTTAAACATAACTCAAAATACCGTTTGAATTCAGTGCAATTAAGCACATTCATTCCAAGGCTTGAACAGCTGGAGGTCACGTGTGACTTCTAAGTGCACAGGACATTGGAGAAATGCCACCACCATCATCCCCTTCTGAAGAAATGTGCGCGTAACCCGCCGTAGCATCTGCATTCTCTCCCTTTGACGACAACGTCCATCGGGACATTAATACGCGCACAGAGCGTGGGCTTCGGAGGAATCAGAGCTAAGACGGCAGCCTGCGCATTTTCTCCGCTAACCACGCGGCGACACTCCTTAGGTGTTTTGCGGTTACTGAGAGGTCACCCCCCAGTTTATGGGAGGAATGAGTGGACCCCGAGCAGACAACTTTGACTTTCCTGTTCTGGCTTCCTCTCCGGGTGTCTCTCTCGGGTTTTGTTTTTCTGCCTCTCCTGTGTTCTCGCCTCCCGTCCCTGTCCCCAGGGACCAGTGTTCTCCGGGGAGGCTGCCACCGAGGAACCTGTCCAGACAGCGTCCCGCGCCCAGCTCTGCCCTTCCCCGTGGAGAGACTCTCATGGTCCCTGCCAAAGCACCTTGTGTGTTTCTGCCTTCCATCTCGTTTTTGGCCCCATGATTTCCATTGGCAGAACAGTAACCTAACCTATTGCCAACGTATTGATGCCCAATGCGGCCGTAGCAAGTGAACGTGTCATCTGGTGGACGATGCTGAGCCGCCGGGGCTGGTGTCCGACATCCACGCCGCAGTGACTGCTGCTTACCGGCTCGGGGCTCCCAGGGCTGGTAGATAGTCCTCGTTTCTCCGTCAGGTGTGACTGGTCACCCAGGAGCCTGCATCCAGCACTGGGCGGGGGGAGGGGGGTTTGGCAGGTGTCATTTGGTCACGTTATTTCCAAGCCTCGGTGTCAGAGGGAAGCGAAAACCCGGCTGGAATGGGTTGAGTTCTCGCGGAGACTCGCTCAGCAGCCGATGGACAGCCTGAGCCCTCAGACGGCAGAGGCGAGCTTTCCCCAGATCCCCGCTCAGACGGGACAGGAGAGGGGGCTCGGGCTGCTGCAGGCTCCTCTACACGCGCCAGATGTCCCACCTCGTTTCCCCCGACCACCGCGCTGTCGAGAGGAGACACCTGGTGTCTCCGACCAGCAAGCCGGTGCGCTCCGGGAGACCCCGACAGGGTGCTGAGGTCAGGCCCAGCTGACCGCCCAGTGGGTGGACCTTTGCTTTCAGGGGTCTTGCAGGAAAGGGAAGCCCGCAGGACACGTGGGAGCAGACGAGGGCTGCGTGAGCCCTCCCTGATGACGTCGTCTTCCTCGGCCCACCTGCCTCCCTTCCCCAGGGGCTGGCGCTGGCCTCTAGCATCTGTGCGTAGCTGGGTTTAACGTGATGTCCGAGACGCGTGCACGCATTAACATATTGTGATGCGTCTCAGTGGAGGTTTGTCATAAAAGAGAAAGAGTGCAGATGTCATGATGGGTTACGAGCACATTCAGGAGGTGGTGGTGATGGTGGCGTCTCTCCACTGTTCTGTGCACTTGGAAGCGTGTAGGGAGGCTTGGTGATGGTCACAATGTAGAATCTTGGGGGAGATCCAGGTGGGAGGTGGACCAGCAAGGGTGGGCAGCAGTGTGGCGACAAAGCCCTAGAGTAACTTGCAGAGGACACGCTGTACACGGGTGTCTGTACACAGTGCTCTGTACACGGTGCTCTGTACACGGTGCTCTGTACACGGGTGTCTGTACTCGGGTGTTTGTACACGGTGCTCTGTACACGGGTGTTTGTACATGGTGCTCTGTACACGGGTGTTTGTACACGGTGCTCTGTACACGGGTGTCTGTACCCGGGTGTTTGTACACGGTGCTCTGTACACGGGTGTCTGTACACGGTGCTCTGTACCCGGGTGTTTGTACACGGTGCTCTGTACCCGGGTGTTTGTACACGGTGCTCTGTACACGGTGCTCTGTACATGGTGCTCTGTACACGGTGCTCTGTACCCGGGTGTTTGTACACGGTGCTCTGTACCCGGGTGTTTGTACACGGTGCTCTGTACACGGATGTCTGTACATGGTGCTCTGTACACGGTGCTCTGGCCAACACCTGCACCCGGATACAGTGCGGTGGGCAGTCCACGATCATCATCGCCTGTGTGCATTTCCATCTGAGTGATCTTGTAGATGACGGTGCTGCCATCCAGAGTGCCAAGAATTGTCGTGCGATAGAGACAGCGGGAGGTGGGGCGCGAGCAGACCCATTCTCACAGCCTGTGTGTTCCAGGTCCTTAACCATCTGCATAAAAAGCTGAAGAACATGTCGAAGAAATCGGAGGCATCGAAGAAAAAGGTAATGTCCACACATCTGTTGCCTGGGCACTGCTCACCGCGTGCTTTATCTTCATGCCTCACTGTCCCACACGCACCCAGTGCCTGTGAAACCCCCGGGGCAGGGATTCGGGGGGCTCTGACTGCTGGGTGCAGGGCGGAGGCGGGCCGCTCCTGAGGGCCACGCGGGTGACCACCGGGCTGCATTAACTGTAGACGGAGGTTTGGGAGGCGAGGGGACATGTTTCCTGGATTCTGAGCCCCCGGGGGGCTGTGCTCTAGGTTGATGGGGACCGAGTGGGCACGTCACCACCACCGGACTCTGCCTGAACCACAGCCATTTCATGGTGTCTTCCCTCCTCTGAGCAACTCGAGGCCTGGCTCTAGAGAGGACGTTGCTATAACCTGTCCCTTCAACGCGGGAGCAGACTGTCCCTCTCGGGTCCTCCTAGGCCTGTGCTGCCGTCGGCCGGGCAGGGGCTCACAGCCCAGAGGAGGCCTTGCCGGGTCACTTCTACCCATTTTTAATTGTCTTTCTTATCAGGCGAATCCTGTTTAGACAAGCTTCTGAGTAATGGGGAGGTGTCTGACTTTCTGCTGTCGATGACATTGCACATTTTAGAGGAAAAAGCTGTTTTACAAATCAGGGTTAATTCAATTGTTCCTTAGACACCATCTGTAGAATATCTGATTTTAGAAAGCAGAATGAGCTCGTTAGACAGTATGGTTAGGGATGGGGAGATCATAACCAGACATTTTTACCCATAAATATGATATGTAACATCTTAAAATACCTTGTTTTTCCTTCTAAATGTTTATTGGGATGAATGACACATATTTGCCGATATTTTATATATATATATTTTAAAAATAATTTGTATTGATGTTAGAGAGAGAGGAAGGGAGAGGGAGAGAGAGATAGAAACATTGAGGGGCGAGAACATCGATTGGCTGCCTCCTGCATGCCCCCCACTGGGGATGGGGCCCACAACCTGGACATGTGCCCTGACCGGGAATTGAATGAGCTACTTCTTGGTGCAGGGTCGACACTCAACCACTGAGCTGCACCAGCTGGGCACATTTTAATCTTATTTATTTATTTATTTATAATCCTTACCCGAGGATGCTCTTCCATTTATCTTCAGATAGAGCAGGAGGGAGAGAGGGAGAGAGAGAGAGACACATCAATGTGAGAGAGACACATCGAGTGGTTGCCTCCTGCACAACCCTACCAGGGCTGGGGACGAACCACAACCAAGGTACATGCCCTTGGCTGGAATCGAGCCCGTGACTCAATCATATCTGTTTTTAAAAATTCCACCTAAGTATAGCGCAGTCCTTCCGAACTTTTCTCGTTGTGAAGTGATGACGCAGTGGAAACACGTCTGTCCCCAGAGGCGAGGGGTGCAAACGCTGGCCAGCTGGTTGGAAAAGCCAGGGTTCAGCTTACACTTGAAACGCAGCCAGAGCCCGTCTAGGAGAAGCCGCTCGAAGGGAAAGGCGCGGCGTGGACCGCAGGCCTGTCCCAGTGTCCCTTCCTGTGTCTGTCCCTGCGGCGGGGCAGCCGTCCAGCCCTCGGGACCCATCTGCAGAGCCGCTTGAGAAGTCCGGCTGGTGTGCAAACCAGTGCTTCCCGTCTGTGTTCAGGGAGGTGCTGTTGCGCTGGAGTTGTCCGTTTTCAACCTCTCTCCGTGTTCCCTCAGCCACACTCCTGTCTCCAAGAAAACGATGCCTTAAACACAATTAAGGGTTGTTATACTTTGCCCTTGGACGGTTATTTGCAGAGCTCCCGCCCTGCACAGGACCCGGCAGCCATGGGCTCCGACCTTGCAGAGGCTCAGGAACAAGCCTTGTCCACCTGATGGGCGCCGGGAAGGGGGCGCTGGCTGGGCGTCCTCGGAGGTGACGCCGCTCGGAGGTGACACCGCTCGGAGGTGACGCCGCTCGGAGGTGACGCCGCTCGGAGGTGACGCCGCTCGTTGTTGGTGCTCAGCAACAGGCACACCAGCGTTTGGTGAGCTGAGCTGGTCTTGCGGGCAGGCAGCGGCGCTCTTACGTCCTATATTCGGAAGGTGCAGGAGAACAGCTGTGGAGCCCCAAGGACCCAGCGGCCAAAGGGAGCAGAGCAGGTCTCACGAGAAGTACGAGAAAAGCCTCTGTTGTGCTCGACAGCAAAACGTCCGAAGGGTAGTGACTCGCCTCACGGCTACTGTGTTCGGTGTGGTGGGTGTGCAGCGGTGTGTGTGTGATGTGCACATGTACGTGTCTGTAGATGTGATTCTTGCCCCAGGAGAGGGTTTCAGCATCTGTAGGTGGGAAGCAGAGTTTCTCTTCCATTGTCACAGCCTCTGACCCTAAACAGCCACCGAACAGATGTCAGTTGTCTTTTGATGGATTTAATTGCCTCCTTGTTTACACAGAACAAACACGGCGTGGTGCGGCCGTGCGTGCGTGTCTGAGACGGGGCAGCAGAGAGGGCAGGGCAGGGTGCGGGGAGGGAGGAGGAGGAGGAGGTCCGGGGCAGACAGCCGGGCTCCGTGGTGAGCTCCGGAAGGCAGGAGAGAACGCGGGCTCCTCGCTGACGGCGTCCCTGCTGCGTGTTCGTGCTCAGTGTGCACTGCATGGCGGCTCCGTGGACACGCAGGGGGGCAGCCCACTCACTTCACCTCACCTGTCCCCAGCTCCTCCCCTCCGTAGCTGAGTGCAGTTCCCAACCTCTGCGCGGTACCCATCCACCCAGGGATGCCCCCCGCAGCTGTCCTGCGTCCTCGGGGGAAACGCAGAAAAGGATGTGATTTCCCCCGGGGAAATAATGCCCATCACTGTCTGGAGCCCTCGATGGAGCCAATGCTGTGCTCAGGACAGCTGGACACGGGTGCTTCCTGCCACCGGTGGGACAGCATCGCCGGGACGGGTTCTGCAGGACCTGCAGCAGAGGTCCCTCCTGACAGCCATCAGCCACCGGTTCTTCCAGACGCGTCCCCTCTGGCCCGGAGTCCCCCGCGGCCCCTCGGCCATGACACGGCTACTTCCTGTTTTCATCTTTCTCATTTTCAGCCACTTTTCCTCTCCAGCCAAGTTCCATTAGACATATTCTGAGCGGAATTCTTTGAAGGAAAAAAATAAAGCAAACGGATGTCTTAGGCGACTTGAAAAGAAGCATCTCCCGGGGAGACGGACGAGGAGTGGGTTTCAGAGACTTCAGCGTAAGGAGCGAAAGGAGCCAGGAAACAGAGCGGAGGGGTGAGGCCGGGGGCGCGGGCCCTGCACAGGGTGACCCGCTCTGTCCCTCACTGAGGTCCGTGCTGCTGCGGGGATAACAGCAGTCCTGTAAGAAACGCTGGGAAATCACCCTCATTCTCCACAGACGGGCTCTTCCCGACACCCCGACGTGTCCAAGGGCGAGAGGAAGCAGCCCTTCTGAGTCCTTCTGGGGAAAGTGGGCCCTGAGCCCTGTGAGCACCTGTGTCTTGAGGTTGACGTGGGCAGGACAGTTTGCTGCTGTGGTTTCTGTCCGTGGTTCTTCAACCTCGAGACGTTCAGAAGCTTCCTGACGATCATGCCCGGGCAGAGGGGCGTGAGGCCTGATGTCTGCCTCCCCAGGAGCCCTGCCCGGCAGGGGTGAGCACGCTGGGCTTCCCAGCCCCAGCGTCGTCCGACCAGACCTCCAACGTCCAGCCAGCGTGGGAGCCAAGGACGGTGTTCTGCCCACATGTGGGGCTTCTTCCCGGTAGCCCCCACCCCAGCGTCTCAGTACCCTGGGCCTGGAGGCCTGGGCCTCAGTGCTGGGGGACAGCAGGAACCCTGTGCTGTATCCGCGGCGCACACACGTTTGCTGGAGTTGACGTCGCCGGGCTGGGCACTGCAGGGCCGGGCGCAGGGCGCTGTCTGCGCAGAACCTCGGCTCCGATGGGCTGCGATGCTTGTGAAGTGGGGACACCGTGAGGCCTGCGGACGCTCGGCGGGGAGCATGCTGGGTCACCCTCTGGGCACAGCCTCAGATAAGTGACGCGGCCGATGTCGGTGCCTGCCTGGTGTTCTTTCCCGATATTATTCTGCGGACTGTAACCCAGGCACATTTGAAGCTACAGGTGGATCGAGAAAAGTGAACTTGTTCATGGTTCTGAGAAGACCAGGGGTTACAAATACTAAAAAGGTAAAGTTTAAAGTTTGAATGACCCACCAAGGCGCAGGGACAGGCATGCCACAGGCTGGCTCCATGCACGGCCACAGCCTTCTCCCCGCAGGTGCTGGGGCCTGGGAGCCAGTCCACGGGCTGTGGGCGGCTGGGCCCCCCCTGCCCTCGGCTTGGTGCTGGGCAGGGGCCTCCCAACAGAAGCGTGAGAATCATCCAGGGGCCTGTTTTGTGAAGTAGAGAGAGGTCCCTGCTGACTTAGGAAGAAAGGGGACAGTTCCAGGTGCAGGTACAGCGACCTGTGGGTGGTTTTGGTTCAGTGATCCAGGACCAGTGTCTGCTGCACACGGAGAAACAGATGGAGCGACGGTCCCCGCACGTGCGTCCCTCACCTGCGTGCAGAGCTGGCTGTAGCACCTAAGCCCGCCACCTGTGGACACCTGTCCCCAGGTGATCCTGAGGCCCAGGCGAGGAAGTCCAGGCGCAGGGCTCACGTCATTTCCGGGTCGCACAACCAGGTTACGGCCCGTCAGTGGCGTCGCGGCTTCTGCACCATCCGCGGTCCTCCGACAGGGAGCATTACTCTCATCTCCTGCCCCTGCCGACCCTGCGCGTCCTGGCTCCGACCCGAACCCTGACGGTCTCTCCTGCCATCTCGGCCTCGGTCTGCCTGCCGAGTCCGCCTTCCTCGCTGCGTCCTCGGTGATGTTTCCCAGAACAGAAGGTTCTAACTCACGACAAGTAACAGAAAAGCCCCGTGGGAAGGTCCCCACAGTGCAGGGGGTGAGGTCCCCGTCCCCCACACGGAATTGGTGTCACCGTGATTTCCTAGCCATCAATCACTGTGTCTTATGCTTCCTCCCGTGTGGGTGTCAGACAGATAAGCCTTCATACGATGTTCCCACCTCCTCCCTCCTCTCTCTTCTTTCCTCTCAACTCTCTTTCCCTCCCTCATCAGGACTGTTCCTGTGTCGGGGGAGCGGCCTGGTAGCCCCGCTCTCGCGTCCTGACTGGGCGGCGGGAGAGGCGTGCCCTCGCCTCCCTGGTCCGAGACGCACGGGAGGCCAGTGGTCCAAACAGTCCTGAGTCCACCCCAGGAATTCAAGCTCTTAAACTGTTACAACCTGGCCTAACCCTGGGGGAAAGGCCACTTTCAGGCCAGGGGCTCCCGTGCCTCAGTATTTCTTCCCGCGAGGAGGGGACGTCCTGGTGACGGGAACGGGGGCCTCCTCGGATGGGCACCCAGAGGCTGCTGTGTTCTGTGGCTGTTCATCGGCCACGACGCCACTAACGGGCCGGGTGGCACGGGCGGTCGATGGGTCCCAGGAGCTCTGAGCAGTTCTCTCCTGGGTCCCAGCGGCCAGAGCTTGGCTTTGGGGTGCGCTCAGCTGCGGGACCCTAGGCACGGTTCTCCCCCATTCTGCGTCTTGGTCTCATCGGCAGCCCATGGTCACTGCAGGGTCGAGCTGGGCAGAGGGAGCATGAGCTCAGCCTTGGCGGCTCTGTCCTGGGCGCTGTCCCCCCGGCCACCTCTGCTGCAGCGAGACGGAGAGGGGTCACTGCTGAGGGAAGGACCCAGCCGATGGCTTTGTATTTTACAGTAGAAAATGTCAGCAAACCCCCACCTTCGACTGACCCAGAGATGGCGTCCTCAGTGGCTCACAGCGCTAGCCCTTCGCTGTTACCTCTCGACATGGGCGGAAGCGGCAGGGACAAGTCGCAGGGCGGGTGGCCCCAGGGCTGGACCCCAGCCCTTAGGTTGGCAGCCCCTGGAGAACATGATGTGTGTGTCCCCAGGGCAGGGCACAGAGGGACGAGGGAGGGGCCAGAGGGCCGGCAGGAGCCGGTCCCTGCTGAGGTCCTTGTTGGGCAGCACCCCTATTACCTGCTCGGTGAAACCCTCACTCACCCCCGGGACCCCGCCTCCGGGCTCCGGTGTCTCTGGTTCAGGGGCACAGGGAAGGCTTATGATGCCAGCAAGGGGCTAATTGGTCCGCAGACGGAAACACACCTGTTTCCTTCACTTGCCAAAGTTCAGGAGAAATACCACCTGCAGCCTGAGGCTGCGCAGGGCGGGCTCTGTGCTCACCTGGGCTGCCCCCCGGGGACGCAGCCGCCGTGCTGAAGCTGGTGAAGCCACGTGGTAACTCTCCAGACCTTTCCGTTCCCGTGACCCGGGCACAGGTCCCACCCGTCACGCACACGGCCAGGTTGTCCCGTGCAAGGCCAGGTCCCGGGGGCGGTGGGACAAAACCATCCGGCGCCCCGAGGCCAAGGCTCAGCACACACCCAGTCTGTCTGAGCCCCGGGAAGACACGGAGCATGTCCTAGGGCGCTCGCCCGCTGCCAGCACTGACGTGTCCCCTCCCCGCAGACGGCGCAGACGGTGCTGGTGGTGGTCGTGGTCTTCGGGGTCTCCTGGCTGCCGCACCACGTCGTCCACCTGTGGGCCGAGTTCGGCGCCTTCCCGCTGACGCCCGCCTCCTTCCTGTTCCGCGTCACGGCGCACTGCCTGGCCTACAGCAACTCGTCGGTGAACCCCATCATCTACGCCTTCCTGTCCGAGAACTTCAGGAAGGCCTACAAGCAGGTGTTCCGGTGCCAGCTTCGCCGTGAGGCGCCCCCCGGCGAGAGCAAGGAGAACAGGAGCCGAGCGGACACCCCGCCGTCCACCAACTGCACGCACGTGTGAGGACAGGCGGCTGCCCCCGGGCGGGGGGCGGGGGATGGGCGGCGGGGGGGCGCCCTCACCTTGGCAACCACCCCTCGTGCTGGTTAAGTGCCACTTGTGTTGAAAAGTACTTTCACCTGTTTAGGAAATCCCTCGGTCTAGTGAGAATTATTTCCAAATTTTAGTTTAGTTTAGAATTCTATTTTTAACAAAAAAGGAGAAAGAAAACACTGCGTTGTTTTATACCGCTCCAGACATGGAAGTTTAATAGAATTCCTTAGATAGGTTCAGTTTTTTTTTAATCGTCACCTGAGGGCATTTTATTTCCCGTTTATTTTCAGAGAGAGAGAGAAACATCGATGTGAGAGAGACACATCGACCGGTTGCCTCCCATATGACCCTGACCAGGCCTGGGACGAACCACAGCGGAGGTACGTGCCCTTGACTGGAATGGGACCCGAGACTCTTTGCTCCCGGGCGATGCTCTAACCACTGAGCACTGGCCAGGGCAGGTTCACGTCTTTATACAGTAGGAATAAGGACCCAAAAGTGCGATCAGGAACATTCATGATCTGTATGTCAAAGACGATTTTGTTAGAAAAAATGTTCACGTGTGTGTTCCTCAGTTGTAAGAAACGGGGCGATGAACACTGTGACCGTGGACACTTTCCCTGTGGCCGAGGAGGTGGCCGCGCAGCTATTCAGTGGGGTTCGGACCGTGCCCAGTCCCCCGGCACAGGTCGCGCGGAGAGCGCAGGGTTCGGAGGGGTGTGTGTCCTTCTGCGGCCGCAGGCCTTTCGGGTCATTTCAGAGGTCACTGGTGCTGCAGCAGACTCCAGGCGGAGCCGTGGGCACCACACGTGACACCTGCCCTGTGAACCCGGGCTTTGCAGAGTCGACTGGAAAAAAAACAGTCCAGGAAAAGTGCCAAGGACAACTGTTCTCATAGTGGAGGCTGGGGTGAGTTTTTGGCAATGAAACCGGGCATTAAAATTGTACATATGCTTGACCAAGGCCTTAGCTATGCCTGGAATGGGACCAATTCAAAAGACAGAATTGGGAAAAAAAAATGTCAGCGAGGGTGATGTGTAGATAATTTCTAGGGGCCAAAGACCAGTCAGAAGTGAGTCCATGAGGTGGTCCTGCCACATGGGACAGTGGACCAAATGCGTGATCAGATCACGTTGGAAGAAAACATGTCTGTGAGCAGGTGTACCTGGGGTTACCCTGTCTGTACAAACAGTGCTTTCTCATTACATTGCAGTGATGTCTAGTGCTCATTTACCCCAAACAGAACTCCCTCTGGAAATGTTAATTTGGGTTAAAATCATCACCGCTTGAGTTTCAAATGTGGTTTACGACAGTGTCATGTTGACTCGTGTCTACAATGAGACGGCGGTATGGAAAGGTTGAGTTACCCTATCCGAGAAGACACTTTTCTGAATGCAAGACTTCGGTTATTTCAGGAGGAGACAGAAGTGGGAAGATTAAGAAAGAAGGGCTTTGGGTAAGGCACACCTGTGTCGGAGCAGGCCTCCGTGCGAAATGTCGCCTTCTAGGGCAGAAAACAGGCGCAGAGGAAGACTTTGCTGACCTGTAGCTCACAGAGTCCTTCTCCCGCGTTCTGTCCCGCGAGGTGGCCTGTGCGGTGTCTCGGGCGGGCTGGGAGGAACTCCTCGGAGGGCTGGGGGTCCCCGGCCTCGGGCTGGGCGGCCAGGGAAACAGTGTGTGTGTGTGTGCGTGCGCGTGAGTACGTTAAAGAGCAGCTACATCCTTTGCATGGAAACCTTTCAGCACTGTATTCAAACCAGCGGCAGAAACCTTGTGTCCCGATAGTGACAGTCCGCGCTCTGTGGAGCGTGAAATAGCCCCTGGGAGCTCCTGCCGCACAGTCTCCCGGCGGCCGCGGGACCTGCTCCACGACGAGCTTCTTGCGCCCTGGCTGCCCCTTCTATCCTCTGCCGATTTCTACCCACACTGGAAGTAGTTTTAAAATGCTGCTTTCTCTAAGCCACACTGGCCGGCTCCGGCAGAGGGCCTGGGGCCAGCCAGCCCGGGGACCCCAGATGGCGCTGGCTGGGGGGCGGTGCAGGCTCAGCACTGCTGTGATCACGGACCTGTGGACCCCGGTCTGTGGGCGTCCCTGCGCCCGCTTCCTTTCATGTTAGGGTGTCCTTGCCGGCTGTCGTTTCCGTCGGTGCCCCTCACTCAGAGTTTAGGGTGTTCACTTCCAGAACAAATTTTGACCCAGATGATCACGTCCGTCCTGCCAGGACCTAAACGTGTGTTTCCTGGCGAGGCGTTGGGGAACTCCTTGCCCACCCCCACCCCCAGGAGAGGTGCAGGTGCCCGCGTGTCCCGGGCGGTTGCTTTCCCCGTGCCAGGGCAGACCGTGCCCGTTCAGAGCACCCTGTGTCCTTCGAAGGACACAGGCGCCCAGCACGCTTCTCCTTCCGGCCGCCGAGCTCAAGGAGAAAGACCCCTTTCAGGTCAGCTTCTTGCAAACCTGGTTTTTCAGTGAACTTCAGGCAAAGGGGATGCCTGCTCCCTAGACGGCTGCCTCCCGGCCGGGGCAGGGGTGCTTTTCCGGGCATTTTGCTTCCATGTAGGGAGAGAGGTTTCGGGTATTCAGACCCGTCTCCCGCTTGCTGAATAAGCCGCGAGGTCCGTTTCCAATGGTGAATCCAGTGAGGTGGCGGGAGCCCCCTTGTCCTGTGCTCCCCGGAGCCCCCTTGTCCTGTGCTCCCCGGAGCCCCCTTGTCCTGTGCTCCCCGGAGCCCCCTTGTCCTGTGCTCCCCGGAGCCCCCTTGTCCTGTGCTCCCGGGAACCCCCTTGTCCTGTGCTCCCGGGAACCCCCTTGTCCTGTGCTCCCGGGAACCCCCTTGTCCTGTGCTCCCTGGAGCCCCCTTGTCCTGTGCTCCTGGGAACCCCCTTGTCCTGTGTTCCCCGGAGCCCCCTTGTCCTGTGCTCTCCGGAGCCCCCTTGTCCTGTGCTCCCGGGAACCCCCTTGTCCTGTGCTCCCGGGAGCCCCCTTGTCCTGTGCTCTCCGGAGCCCCCTTGTCCTGTGCTCCCCGGAGCCCCCTTGTCCTGTGCTCCCGGGAGCCCCCTTGTCCTGTGCTCCCGGGAGCCCCCTTGTCCTGTGCTCCCCGGAGCTCCCTTGTCCTGTGCTCCCGGGAACCCCCTTGTCCTGTGCTCCACGGAGCCCCCTTGTCCTGTGCTTCCCGGAGCCCCCTTGTCCTGTGCTCCCGGGAGCCCCCTGTCCTGTGCTCTCCGGAGCCCCCTTGTTCTGTGCTCCCCGGGAGCCCCGCTGTCCTGTGCTCCCCGGAGCCCCCCTGTCCTGTGCTCCCGGGAGCCCCCCTGTCCTGTGCTCCCGGGAGCCCCCTTGTCCTGTGCTCCCGGGAACCCCCTTGTCCTGTGCTCCCGGGAACCCCCTTGTCCTGTGCTCTCCGGAGCCCCCTTGTCCTGTGCTCTCCGGAGCCCCCTTGTCCTGTGCTCCCGGGAACCCCCTTGTCCTGTGCTCCCGGGAACCCCCTTGTCCTGTGCTCCCTGGAGCCCCCTTGTCCTGTGCTCTCCGGAGCCCCCCTGTCCTGTGCTCCCCGGAGCCCCCCTGTCCTGTGCTCCCCGGGAGCCCCCCTGTCCTGTGCTCCCGGGAGCCCCCTTGTCCTGTGCTCCCCGGAGCCCCCTTGTCCTGTGCTCCCCGGAGCCCCCTTGTCCTGTGCTCCCGGGAGCCCCCCTGCCCTGTGCTCCCGGGAGCCCCCCTGCCCTGTGCTCCCGGGAGCCCCCCTGCCCTGTGCTCCCAGGAGCCCCCTTGCAGAGATTCTCTCTGCTACTCTGACCTTGTCTGTGGGGATGGGGTAGTTTTCCGCGCATGTCAGGTAAATACGTTTGCTGTTAACAAGGTCACTGCGCTGCACACGTCGGGGGTAAAGCAGCATTTCCTTCGCTCCCCCACCCCCACCTCCTGTGCTTCGGTGGTAACTCATTTCTCCCTGGACCTCCTCACTCCGATCCTCACCCCAGGACAACTCCTGCCAGGCCCCAGCTGGGATGAATGAGAGCCGGGGGCGTCGGCATGAGTCATGCAGGCTCAGGCTTGGGGTGACTCAGCTCCACTGCCATCTCACAGACGATTGTGTTTGCTCGGTATCTCGGATGCTTGGAGATAAGGCTGTGATAACGTGGATGCGTTCGCGGAACCCCAAGGCCAGGGGTCCTCCGAGCAGGACGGGATAACTTAGCTCAGCATGTTGCCCCCCACAGATGGCCACAGACACCTTAAGTTCTGAGCTGCTGGTGTTGAGGAGGCTCACGCTCAGATACATACCGTCAGCAGCACCAGCTCCCACTAAGAGGGTCTATCAAACGCGTGTCCACAGACCACAGTCACGTGAGCTGAACACAGTGCGTCCGTGTCCTCTGCAAACATCCAGAATCTGTGAGGCTCGGTCTCTTCTGGTGGAGAATATCTCCCAGGTTTGACATGTGTGAGTGGCTCATGTTCCTCGTGGCCGTTAAGACAGTGTTGCCATGAGGTTGGCTCCTTGTGAAGTAGCCGTTCGTGACTGGCTCATTGAACGACTTGTTTGTATCAAGAGCTGTGCAGAGTGGGAGGGGGCGGCCTCCCTTGCTGTCTTGGAGAGAGGAACACAACGAAGTGGGGATTTTATCGGATTCTAATTTGTACTGTATTTCGATCTTTTCTCCTTTACAAGTGGGAGAATTGAGCCTGAGGAACAGTTTGAGATGCTTGACACCTGCCTGAGGTGGGCTGTTGGGGGTGGCTGGCGGCAACGCTGTCACCGTGTGGATGGGCTGGGGGGGAGGGGGCGCTGGTGCTGGGCACTTGCTGAGCGTCCCCGAGGAGCCGGATCAGCACGGATGGCCCGGCGACCTCACCTTCACCGTTCCGAGTCAGGAGGGTTGATGTAGCCCCATCTGCATTTCTAACGAGCGCTTTGGTGATGCTGATGCCGATACTGATGCTGCTGGTCTGCTGCTGGTCCAGGGGCACCGTTTGGGAA